ATCCAGCTAGATTGGCTGCGTGGTGTTGGAAGTGGTGAAGATGTAAATAAAAAATCATCACTGAGCTTGGTTGTGGGTCTTTGGGAGCACACGGGAACGGGGACATTAAATCATGGGGCAGCTGCAGCTGCTGCCTGCAGAGAGCTGGGGTGTAAATCCAGCCAGCCTCCCCCACAAAGACAGGCTCAGTGACCACAGAAATCTGCTTCTCGGGGCTGGTTTGCACTTCTCTGCGTTGTCAGGGTCCCTTCACGCTTGCCCCTGCTCGATGCCGGTGCAGATCTGCTTTGATTTTCTGAGCAAAGCAGGAGAGCAGTGCCAGTGGCACTTGCCAGGTCATTCCTCAGCACTGGCACAGGCAGGACAGGTTGTTCCACCTCCAGCTCCTGGGTTTGGTGGGGTTTCTGTGTTTTGTTTTGTTGAAAAGCTGGGGAAACTTGCCTCAGTTATGCCTGCAGGATGAGTTCACTTCTGGTTGAGAGTTGAAGTCAGTGACCATAAATATATTTTATCTGTCCCAGGTCACAGAATCCCAGACTTGGTTTGGGTTGGGAGGGACCTGAAAGTTCATCCTATTCCACCCCTGCCATGGGGAGAGACACTTCCCACTGTCCCAGGCTCCTCCAAGCCCTGTCCAGCCAACTTCCAGGGATGCAGGGGCAGCCCCAGCTGCTCCGGGCACCCTGTGCCAGGGCCTGCCCACCCTGCCAGGGAACAATTCCTTCCCAAAATCCAGCATAACCCTAAGTCAGTAGGATGGAGAAGCCCTGTACAATTATTCTGCTACCAACAGCTTTATTAGTGTGATTTACACCTTCTGTCAGGATTGTAAAACTTCCCTGTGTCATTGCAGTTCCTTAACGTGGTGCTTGCAGCATAGTGATTCCATGGTAATAGATTTTCCATTGTAGTAATTCCATTATTAGAGGAAAATCCCTTTGACCTCAAGTTGCACAGGTTTGAAGTTCCATGTGTGCAGTTGCTGTTCTGGCTGTGGGACTCAGGGTCAGTCTGAAGAGAGAAATATTCCTGCCCGCTTTCTGAATGTGTGGATTTGGATTATATTAACAAGTAAGTTACTATTGATGTGTATGAAAATAAGGAATAAAAAAGAAGATAGACCATGAATTCAAGAACATAAGTTACTTATATAATCTTGAGTGAAGAATTTTTACTTAAACTGAGACGTTTGTTTCAGTAAATGTGGTCAGAAATTGGAAGAAAGGGAAAAAGCTATATCCTCTTTATTAATTGCATCTCTGTTCCCTTTTCCTAAATGGAAGAGATTATGGGGGGCATGTTTTATTAATTCTGCCTTCTTTTTCTGACCTGGAAACTGCTGGGAAAATGTCTGGAATAAATTGGCACTGGCTGTGGTGTTTGCTGGTAGGATCCTGCATGAACTTTTTGACACCCCTGTGTGAATTTATTTTTGCAAAGCAACATCATGCAAACCACGTTGGGGAAGAGGCAGTTTCAGGCACAAATCCCCTGAACTATCATCAATGGAGAGACCATAAATGTTGTGATGGATGCTTGAAGGCAGTTTAATGTAGCACTGGAGAAAATAGAAGCCATTACCCCTGGAAGAGCTCCAGTTATGACAGAGAAAATAAATGGTGCTGTTACAAGAGATGTACTGACAACAAAATTCCTGCTGGCTGGGGAGGAGAGCCGAGCACGGTACAGAAACCTACAGACAATTACCCCTTATCTGAAGTAATGTTTATTTTTGGTTTAAATCCGACATGGAGACTGCTTGATAAAAGGACTTAATCCAATCTGATGGAGGTTTAGTCTTAATTATACTTGTGCTTGGGATCTGCCCGGTCTTTGCCACTGCTCAGATCAGTGCTGAGACATTTCCCTGCTCAGCCCTGGACCTGCACAGAGCCTGGGCTGGCATTCCTGAGCAAAGCAGGGTCAGGACAAGGGGGAACAGCTTCCCACTGCCAGAGGGCAGGGCTGGATGGGATATTGGGAGTTGGGAATTGTTCCCTGGCAGGGTGGGCAGGCCCTGGGGTGGGATTCCCAGAGCAGCTGGGGCTGCCCCTGCATCCCTGGCACTGCCCGAGGCCAGGCTGGACACGGGGACAGGGGAAGGTGTCCCTGCTATGGCAGGGCTGGGATGGGATGAGATTTAAGGCCCCTCCCTATGGTGGAGTTCACAGGGGTCCCAGGATGAGGGAAGAGATGAGAATCTTGACTCTGTGTTTCAGAAGGATGATTTATTATTTTATGATGTATATTATATTAAAAGAAAATGATATACTAAAACTATACTAAGAGAATAGAAGAAAGGGATTTCATCAGAAGCCTAGCAAAGAAAGAAAAGGAATGATAATAAAATCTTGTGACTGACCAGAGTCCCAACACAGCTGGACTGTGATTGGCCATCAAGTAAAAACAACTCACATGGACCAATCACAGATGCACCTGTTGCATTCCACAGCAGCAGATAATTATTGTTTTTCTTTTCCTGTGAGGCTTCTCAGTTCTCAGGAGAAAAATCCTGTCAAAAGGATGTTTCATAAAATATGTCTGTGACACCTCCCAACCCAAACCATTCCAGAACTCTGTTATTAATTTTCAGTCTATCCCATGGAACATTTTGTGTCTTGCATCCATCTCTATCTCCCAGATTTTTTTTAATGGGAGAGGCTGAGGCAGCAGCTACAGCAGCAGGCACAGAACATCCTCACACATCTTTCCTGCATCACCTAGGAGAGAGGTCTTTCCACAGAAAATAAATGAAGCCACATTTTGAGCTTCCCAATCCAGCAGAGCTGGTGCCTGGCTGTGAAAGTATTCCTTCCCCATCCCAGCTGGGTCAGACTCAGAGGGATATGCAGATGTGTGATGGATTCCAGCATGTGGTGCTGAACAGGCACTGCTGTAAATCAGCCTCATAGCTGGATAGATCCAAAATCATAGACAGATCCAAGGAAATAATGCTGTTGATTTCAAATAAACTGTGTGTCAGAGTATTACTGCCCAGAAGAGTTGTGGGCAACCTGCAAATGGGTTCTTGCAGTGCTTGTGGGAATTGACTTGAAACTCTCACACTGACTGACTGGAAAAAGATTAATCATAAACAAGAAATGGATGATTGTTACATATTGTTTGTACTGTTTTGATGTTTTTTCTTCATGAAGTCCCAGTAGGACTGTGTATTTTTGGTGTAGCTGGCACAGAACCAGCCTCGATGAAGGGTGGAATTGCTGCCCTCATATTTTGCTCAGGTTTATATTTCAGTGCATGTGGAGTGTCGTCGTTCTGCCAGGTGAGTGCAGCAGGCAGTGAGCTAATGCTAACGAAGCTGATGCAGCACAAACTTGGATTTGTTTTCACCCTTCTGACAGTGTTTGAGAAGGACTTGGGGTTCATCCCACCACAGGCACCTCACCCTCTCCCAGGGCAGGCTGGGGGCCTGGCACTGAGAGGCTCTGTAGCCCATTACCAATGCTGAAATGATGCAGGGCTTTGATAACCCCTGCATTTTTATTGGCAGCGTCCCCAGGCTGCCTGCTCAGAGCTGCTGTGTCAGTGGTTTCACCTTGAGTGCACAGCAGAGCCTCGCAGGATGATGCCGTTGTCTGCAGGACTGGGGAGGGAGCGTTGACGGAATCAGAGCTGATGCTCTCACAGTGTTTTCCCTGATGCTCCACAAGCTTCTCATCCCCACCTCAGCCTTCTCCCTTTTTAAAGGCTGCTCCTTAATGGCTCTTGGCTCAGGATTTCTTTTTCCTTGTACTTCTGTGATTTTCCTGGGAGTGTGTGTCACATTCCTGTCCTGAGTAGCATGAAATTCCTGCGTTTGGGAATGTTTTCAGTGTCACTCTTGTCTTGCAAGAAGAGGAAGGACTAAAAGAGGAGAGATGTAGCATGTAAAGGTAATAAACTGTTTTAAAAGGTCAAGTCTGGCCTCCATGTGTCACTCACTGGTGGTTTGCTGTAGCAAGGAGTGCAGGGAAAAATCAAAAACTGGGGGTCAGGATGGTTGAGAGTAACTTTAGGCTGAATATTCAGCTTTGGGAATTATCTTCATGCCTTTTTAAGGGAGCTGAGTCACTTAAACCCAGGTTACTTCTCTCTTCTTTCTGAGAGTTTGTGAAGCTTGCTGAATTTTTTTGTACAAATTACAGTTTTTACTTTGTGTAATAGCTTTGTAAATATTATTAGCTATATACTTTTTTGGTGTCTTTGAGGTGTACCATTTGTACAATCCATGTATTTTCTGGGATTATTTGGAGGCCTAAGTTAATTTGAGTAGAATATGAAAAGGGGTTTTTAATTAAAAATATTACTCTTTCTTAAAGAAAAACTGCATGAATTCACTTTTGACAACAGCAGATGGTAGCATTCTTATGCAAGTTATCTGTTTGCAGTGTGAAACAAAGCTTTCTGAACACCCTTTTTTTGTGTATTCTGAAGCTTCTGGGAGTTCTTTAAAGTTCTCTTAGACATGAAGGGATTGATGCTCATGAGAACATTTTCAGCACCAAGTGGAAGTTGAAGCCACCTTGAGGGCACTTCCTTCTCCTTCTTGCTGCCTCTCCAAGCAGAACCATGTGCGTTTCCCAGCACCAGGGCTCAGGGTGGTTGCAGACCTTTTTTCCTGAGGGAAATGGGTTTTCTGTGTTACATTTGCTCAGACTGTGGTTTGCACAATAGCTTTGCCTCTCTGCAGCCAGTTAATGCTGATACAGTAACTTGAGTTACTTCTGCAAACCATTACGTTTTAACTAAAATAGTGGCCTAGCCTGGTTGCTGATCTTATTTCTCTTTCAACAGAGGAGAATATATGTTATTGATGTGGAATATATACAATATATTTTAATTTGTCATGACTGTGCTAGGAAGAGCAATGTGAGCTGAGATTCTGAAGTGAGAGAAGTTGCATCAGGGGCTGGTTGCACCCTGCCTGTTCTTTTCCAGATGCACGTGATGAGTTTTGTGTTTTTCCCTTCCATGACAAAGCAAATTCTGTTCCCTCTTAGGAGCACCCCATCCTCGGGCAGCCTTTCTTTGTGCTGCACCCCTGTCGAACCAATGAATTCATCTCTGCTGTGCTGAGAGGCTCACAGGAGCAGCACAGGTGAGGGGCTCTGCTGGGCTTTCTGCAATGCAGGTAAGGTCAGTCAGCTGCAGGGTGGAAATGGACAAAGCTACTTCCTTAGCGCCAGCAGAATAAGATTTCCGTGTTGTCACTTCAGGCCTGAAAGTTAAAATACATTTGTGATAGGAAAAGTGAAGGAACAGCCCCATCTGAAGTTGTTTTGTGACTGTTTAGTCTGTCTGTAGTTCAGAAAAAGCTGGGATAATATAATTATGGTGCTTTTTGTGGTTTTTTTTCCCCCTAGACACACAAATTACATCACACTGTGGCTCAGTACTGTAGGCCCAGTTGTGGGCCTGAATCTGCCTTTGAGTTATGCAAAAGTGGCACCTGAGCAGAGCACAGCTGTGGCTGAAAGGTAAGAGAAAAGGAAATCATCCTTTCCTCTCCACCCTCCTGTTCCAAAGATTAGATGGATAAATGGCAGAACCATCTCCTCCTCCTTTGAAGCTCTTGCTTAATTTAGGACTCACCTTTCAGTGTTTTGCTTACCTGCCTGCGTTGTTGCCTCACTTGATTTGCAGTGAAAATTTGAGAGGTGCTTAGCCTATTGCTGACACCCTTCATGAGTCCAGGGTGTCCCTGAGCTCCTGGGGTCTCTCTCAGGTTTGGAGAAGTGTTTCATGTTTCCTCCCCCAGCACAGGATTGCGCTCTGGCATAACTGCTGCAAGGATTTTGAATTAACTCCTTTTTCTGTGTTTGCTCTCCCCTCTCCAGGGCCCTGAGCTGAAGGACTGGGAGTGGTTAGGCTGTGATAAAGCTGCTGCAGACTGCCCTGGGGGTGAAACGGAAGGGTCCTCCCTGGCTGCTCAGCCATGCCAGAGTGGAAATGGTTGCTCATGGCTGTTTTTGTGGCCAGAGCTCACCACTGAGGATGTGGGAATTGGCTGCAGCTGTGGGAGCACCTCCCCAGCACCACCCAGACCTGAGCTCCCTTGAAGTCACTCATCTCCTGCTGAGGCTGCAGACAGATGCACGAGCCAGAGCCAGAGCCGCTGGATCCACTGAACTTACCTCTAGAAAATCTGCACCATCTGTGGGGCAGAAAAAGCAACATAGAAAAATGCTTGTGGGGCGTGGTGTGAGTGTGTGGAGCCAGGGTATGGGCTGGGACTGGGAGGCACCTTCTCCAGCCCGTGTTCCCCAGCACACAGAACACCCTCATCCCGGGAATATCCCCGCACATCACAGCTCAGGGAGCAAAGGGGGTCAGGGCTGTCACACACAGAGCCCTTGGAGCCTGCACGGAGTGAGCAGGCCCAGCTCTGCAGCTCAGGAGCCTGGAGCAGCCCTGTGGGAACAGCTGGCTCTGCCCTGCTCTGCTGCTGCCCCTGGGAGCTGCTGCTGCTCCCAGTCAGTGTTCCTCCTTGTAGCTGTGGTGGTTCACAGGTTTGCTGCGTGCCCTGACAGCTGTTGGGCTTTGGGGGTTGCCTGGTGGTGCTGCCACGGGAGCCAGATGATGAGGAGCTCCCTGACCACCCGTCCTGGCTTCTCTCCCACTCCCATTTTGTTTGCAGTGTCAAGCAGAGTCTGAGCAGCTGATACTGGAGCACAGATTCCACCCTGCACATTCAGCAATTGTCACTTGCACGCAGAGTCTAGGGCGTGCCATGTCAGAGCAGGGATTTCACATTTCCAGATTCTCTTTTTTCAAATTATAATTTCCATTACTTGCCATTGGTGGACAGGGAATAGAGAGTGCAGTCCTTCAAATTCCATGGGCGCAGAATTTGTTTGCCAGACATTTGGAATTAATAATGAAAGCACATAGTTTATTTTGTTCTGTGTCATATCAACCTGAAAAGCCATTTTCCCCATGTAAGATTTACAAAATATGGCCTGCAGCTACATTGATTTTTTTTTAACACTTTTGGTAACACATGCTTGATAATTGCATCCACAGCCCATTTTTAAATCTAAGTGAGACTTAGGAGGAAGAGCCAACAAAAAGAGGTAACAGCAGGTTTAAGAGCTGTTAAATGTTCACCCCTCCTCTGTCATCTTCACTTGTGATACCCTGGAACAGTAGAAGCACTCAGCCTTCAAAATGTGGAATTTATATGTAAAGGAAAATAAATATTTGTATTTTACACTGAACAAGTCTCAACACCTATTGCTTTCTACCCTAATTCACCATTTGAATGATGAAGAAAGGATTACTTGACCAGGGTATTACACTGGGCTCAAACGACGACGTGACAAGTGCTTTGTCTCATCAGTATCAATGTTTCCCTGAAATCTGCCTGGAAAACTAAAATTCAGCTCAGTTAGTAGAAATACACAGAGGTTAGATAGAGAAAAAATAGAGGCTAACATAAATATTTGGGACCAAGGAGATAAATAAGCCCATTTGGATATCTCCTTTTTAATGCCTGGGGTGAGAGGTGAGCAACCAACTGCCTGTTTACATTTATGCCTTAATGACTTAGGATACCTTAACTGAATTTTTATGCCTGAAAATTATATATATATATATATTTTTTTAAATCAAGCGAATTGTGGCACTGCTTTGTGATTATGTTTTATGTCATGATTCATTATTTAGTTAAACTATTGAAGATCCTTAGACTGCGCTTGGGTTTTGTCTACATGCATTGTCTGAACTCTTGCATCCTACCAAGGAGAAAATTTCCAGCTTAGATTTGTAAATTTGCTCAGTTGTTCATCTTTGCTGAACTGGGAAGACACATCAAGGGAGGTTCTTCACTTCTGGGGACTTCTGTAAGAGAGAACAGTCTCGTACCTGCCTGGGTTGCCAGAATCATCAAGAGGAATTAATTTCATGTGTTCACCTAGGCCAAAAAATGTGTTTTTCTGGGGAGTGCAGTTGGTAGCCACATACATAATCCCTCCTTTATGTCAGCGTGACCAGGTAAGAATTTAACCCCCTGCCAGGAGATTTGAGGTTGCCTGGCTTTGCTCACTAACAGGAACATTCCTTTCCAGGCAGGAAATGTGGAGCTACTTAATTACAGCAAAATACAGCCAAGTAATCAGTATCAATTCTTGCTGCAACTCCATGAATTTCAGCGAAACTTTCTCAAAAACTTCCCCCCCCCCTCTGTCTTTGCTATGATGATGGTTTCATGAGTCTGTTTGGACATCTGTATTTATATTGCCCACGTATAATAAATTCAGTGCCAGCACAAAGGCAGGACGATTGCTCTTCCCTCTGAATGGTGAAGTTACAATTATTTCCTCAGAAATACTCTCTTGTAGAGAACAGCATGTGTATGGGTATTTATACCTATTTTTAGCAACATGTGGGCTTTTAAAAGGTCTTTCAAGGAATTCAGTGCATTTTTTAGGAATAAATTCTTACCACCTAGAATAAAAAAAAAAAAAGCCTGAAGCTCTGAAGCTGAGAGCTGCAAAAGTAACCCTGTATTGAGTGCTCAGGATTAGGGAAGTGTCACACAGGTTTTTATCTCTTGGATTTCAGGAAAATCTTTAAAACCCTGCACCGCGAGGAAGCTTTCAGTTCCCCACTTGAGAGGTTGCTGCAGCTGTCACCTCCCGAAGACAAATTCAACTTAAGGCAGAGGGGATTTCACTGCTGTGTTTGAACAGAGAATGGATTTACGGAGCACCCTCTTAACACCTTCCTCTAGTGTGTTACAAAACAGCATCTCCTGTACCAGCTGTATTGTTCAGTCAGGTGTTGCTGGTGTCAGATGGCTGGCCAGCTGCTTTAATAAGTGAAAATATTAATTAGTTTTGGTGATGAGGTGGAAAACGTGGCCAGCTGTGGATTCTCTCTGCCTGGGAGGATGTTGGGTTATGTAACACGTATTTTTTAGACTCTAAACCCCTCTAGTAGTGATTTGGTGACGTTTTGCTGAGCTCATCTTTCTCTGAGTTCTTCCTGCAGGGTCCAGGTAACACAAACTATTCCTGGGGACAGGCACAACCTCAGAATCACAGGATGGCTGGAGTGGGAAGGCACTCGGAGCCCATCCAGTGTCACCCCAATGCCGTGTCAGGGACACCTCCCACTGTCCCAGTGTCCAGCCTGGCCTCGGGCAGTGCCAGGGATGCAGGGGCAGCCCCAGCTGCTCCGGGCACCCTGTGCCAGGGCCTGCCCACCCTGCCAGGGAACAATTCCTCATTGCCAAGATCCCGGCCAGCCCTGCCCTCTGGCACCGGGAGCCGTTCCCCGGCCGCCGTCCCCGCGGCCCTCGGCAATCGTCCGTGTCCGTCTTTGCCGCGGCCCCTCCGGGCCCCGCGAGGCCGCCCCGAGCTCAGGCCAGAGCTTCTGGTGCCCAGGTGAGCGATGGCGGCCGCGGCAGCCTTTGGTGCCGGCAGAGCCGCTCCATCCCTGTGCCCGTGCCGGAGCCTCCTCTGGCCCGGCTGCAGCAGCTGCAGCTCCTTGCTGGGCCGGGCCGGGGCTGGGGCAGCTCTGCAGGTGGGCTCTGCCTGAGGGGCAGAGGGGCAGAATGGCCCCTGCCCTGCTGCCCCCGCTGGGCTGGGCCCGGCACGGGGCTCTGGGCTCGGGGCTCTGGGCCGGGCTCGGGGCTTTGGGGTCCCAGCCGTGCCCCACAGGGCTGCTCAGCCCAGCCCGGATCTGCTCTCCAGCCTCTCCGCAGCCCCCGTTTGCCCGAATTTCCCCGTTTCCTTTGTCACAGCCCACTCAAGTTCTTGTCTCGAGCGTTTCCGTTTCAGCTGTCCCCTCCCCGCTCCTGTCGCGACACCTGGTGGCGCCACGGCCTCACGACAGCGCCCGATGAATGTTCCCCCTCTGCAATTCGGAGATCCAGAGCCGCCATGGGGACGGTCCCCTTCCCTTCTGCCTCCCCCCAGAAGCTGGACTACCCAAACCTCTGGGGAATTCTGAACGTATTCTTAGATTCCTTCTCCATTTTCATATGAATTGCTGAGTTCTCACATGAATTCCTATATAAATAAGTGAATTATTTGTATCAGAGCCTTTCCATCACTACACAGTTGTAGCAAGGGAATTGTTCACTCTGACTTCAAATATTTCGAGGTTTGACTGCATTAAGAAATTGCTGAATTATGCATTTCTTATCTGGCTAAGCAGGTAAAAATTCATCCACCCAAGTCACAGCACAGTGCTGCTGTACTACAACAGGTGTCTTCAAATTGGACAGACTTGCCCCAAAATAAGCACAGTTAATTTGAGTTAGTTTGTACTCAAGAGGTGAAACTCTCTGGGTTGGGTCCATGGTTCAATCGCCCCTTGAGGGCCCAAACCCAGTGTGTTCTGTGCCTGTGCTCACACCTGAGGCTGCAAGTGCTGCCACAGACACCATTCCCAGAACTCCAGTAATGATTTTTCATGTGAGAAAGGCTCCTTGTCACAATTATGCTTTAAAATTCCTGCAGTTTGTGACGCCCTGAGGGGTATTCTGATTCCTGATTAGTACCTCCAAAAGAACATTAGGATTTGGGCTTTTTCCTTGGCCAGATCTAGGCAGAAATTAAATTTTTTAAACAAAAGATTTTTGTGCCTGCCCCATCTCCTGCATCAAGCCCCGAATAAGAAGCAGAGAACTCCTTTAAAATGTTAATAAGATTTTATTTGTGTTCCTGTCAGCCCGGTGAGCGTTTACGACCTGGGTCTCTCCTTCTTGCCCTTGTAGAGGGCCAGCAGGGACACGTTGGCCACCTTGACCACCTTGAAGCGCACGCCAGGGATGTCCCCCACGGCGTGGCCCTTGCGCCCGAAGCCGGCCACCAGCACCTCGTCGTTCTCCTGGGACAGGACAGGGACAGAACGGGACAGTGAGCGCCAGAGCCAGCCCCACACACCCCCCGAGCGAGCTGCACCTGCCCCAGCACAGCCTGCAACGCTCAGGGTGCCGACCAAACCCACCAAACCCAGCCCGTCGCCAGACTGAACCAGTGCCAACGCAATAAATCTGATTTTCAAACTTCTCCTCACAAGGTTTTAGGGTGCTGGGCAATTACCTCGATGAAGTTCAGGCAGCCATCGTTGGGGACAAAAGCTGTGATTTTTTTGCCGTTCTTAATGAGCTGGACCCTGACACATTTCCTGATGGCAGAGTTGGGCTGCTTGGCCTCGACCCCCCTGCAAAGGAAACCAGCCAGCAAAGAAATCAGTGTGGGGCACCAGGAGGGGCATTAATTAAATCAACCTTTTTATCTCGTGTTCACTGTAAATTGTACTCAACATCTGTGAGATAGTTTACAAGTACTGATTTAATAATTAATATATATTAATCTAGATTTAAGCCTGAATCCATAAAATAACACTTCCTATGCCAAACAGAAACTGAAATGATCTCCAGATTAATTCGGTAAAATTCTTAAAAAAAAAAAAAAAAAAAAAAATAGAAACAG